TACCTATGATGAAAATTACAGGCCTCTCTCATCTTTTTAAGTGGGAGAACTTGCACGATTGCTGGCTGACTAAATACTTTTTTGCCCCACTGTATCTTCTGATCACCCAGGGAGGCAGTGGAAGCAGCCCCCACCGAGGGAAAGGCTGAATTTCTGGGATCGTGATGAATTTAACTGCACGGCTTTGTTCGGTTCCTGACCCCTGATATCCTGCGGACGGACTCTCACAACTGCCAGCCACAGATTGTATTCAGGGGGCCGTTGCAGACTTGTTACAAATCCCCAGAGGACTTTTCTAGACGGCTTAAATACCCCATCCCGAGGAGGGGCGAGGAGGTTCACCCCACATACCAAGTCACTGCTTCATCTGCTGTTTGCCAGCCGCCCATTCAGTTTCTGGCTTGCAAAACACGGCCGGCAAAGGAAAGGCGGGCAGGGAGCACAACCCCTAAGACCCTCAGCAGCCAGGCAGGCCCAACAGATCACAGCAGCAGCGGGGTTCCCGCATGTCAGCTAACCCTTGGTACTGAAGGCACCAAGGTACTCTTGCTGGCAAAACTCATGTCCCGAGAAAAAACATGGTTCTTCCAGGAATTTTCGAGCTTTAGCCAGCCAGGCAGAGGAAGGACAACACAATGGGTCTTTTCAGGGAGTTTTCAGCAGCCCTGCCGTTGCACCCCTGCCCGATCTCTTTTCTATCTGGAGCAGATGTCCTGGCACGGAGAGCCAAGCGCCAGCCGGGGCTGCAGTGCTGGCAAGCAGGTGATCGCTGAATGATGCCCACTCACTGGGGGAGAAGGAGCCTCTCCCACATCCGCCAAGAGGGCAGCTCTTCAGGGAAGCGCCCCGTGACAGACCATGTAGCATAATGCATGGAGCGGGGTTAAAAATCTTTGGCAAGTTTTTTTGCTGGGGGGCCGGGAGTCCTTTGACCCTTGCTTTCCAACTGTTGTGCTGCAAGATCAGCTGCCTTCTACACATTTAATCATCATATTCGGTCTTTGCTATCTGGAAAATATCAGCGTTGCAAAGAGTGACCCGTCACAAGGAAGTTCCAGCTTTGGGATCATAATGACTAGAAAGTTTATTTTTTCAAAAATGAAAATGACAGTAACGGTTTCCCCACTGCTAAGTTTCCGGTCTATGCTTGTGACAACTGAAGGATGAAGGCGAGGGGGGTCAAGCATGCATGAGCCGCCCAGAGTCACCCGTTGGGGGGAGATGGGCGGCATACAAATTTAATGATTGATAGATAGATAGATAGATAGATAGATAGATAGATAGATAGATAGAGAGATAGAGAGATAGAGAGATAGAGAGATAGAGAGATAGATAGAGATAAATGCTCTAAAACTGCCTCCCCCAGCATGCCTGCCAGGCATCTAAGAACCACAGGTGGCCCTGGAGGGAAGCTGGATTGTCGGGCAATTTCTGCAGAGAAGGGAGGCTAACCGAGCCAGGAAGCGTGGCCCCATCCGGCGCAGGCTGCCTGCTGCCAGGGCAATGAGAGGAAGGAGAACCCGGCTGGGTCTCTCGTGCGCCTGGTCAGCCTCCACCGTCGCAGGCACCGTTGCAGGGTCGCCACTCTGCCTTCCGCAGCACTCATGTTCTGCGGACAGAGAGAGAACCAAAACCCGTAACGTGGGCAGAATTAGGTACCGGGCTATTCCTACCACAGTTTGCGCTGCTTTTATTTGTTGTGCTCCACCTCAGTACTATCCCTAGAAGACAGTACAATCAGTACTATTGTAGCAAACACTCCTGCAAAAATAAGACCCAGAGAGCTCTTCCCATTCTCTTCCAGAAGCTGAAAGCTCCCCAGTTAAAGTGATTACTATTTTCTAAGCACCCCACAGAGGCTGGAAGACCTGTCCGCCCGCCCGCCGGCTTACAGCTGAAGGAGCATAGATGCAACTGGGTCAACGTTGGGGGGGCAGCTAGTCTCCGCCGGGCATATGTTCTTCTGGGCAGATGGCGTAGCCTCTCCACAGCCAGAGCTGTACTTGCTGTCAACTCTGTGGTCCCTGAGTGTAACAGGATGGCTCCCTTCCTGAAGATGTACTGGAAGCAGGGACTCACACAGAGACTCCACAGGCAGCCCCCTCTGCTCTAACATGGCAGGAGATATCCTGGAGGACTGTTTGCAAGCCATTTTTACAGAACCGGCTTCTCCTGCTTGAGTGAACCAGCCCCGCGAAGGCTCTCGCTCACCTCCCCGCACCTCCTGCTTTAACCAACGTAGAGAACGTGGTTGCTTACATGTTCAACCACGCCGTTGCAAGAACTTGGACTGTGCTCACTCCCAGCGATCACCCCATCAGTTTCGGAGAGGCTTGCTATGGATCACCAACTGAGTCTCTGCCAGCCCTCGCGGTGGTCAATGCAAGAGGACGCTGCCTGTGTTTTAGGAGCCCCGAGCAGTTTCCAGCCCTTGGCGGCGGAAATCTCCAACGCCGCCTCTGTCTGCCGGAGGGAGGACTGGGAGCTGGCCTTGCCCAACAGAAGCAGCCACAAACCTGCTGGAATTAATGCCACAATCTGCTTACGGCCTTTCAAATAAAGCCTCTTCTCTCCGGCCAAAGCTGTCAAATGTATAAGGGAATGTAATTCAAAGGTGGGGAGGGAGAGCCGGGATTCTCAGTCCGCAAAATACTTCCGGCAAGAAATGCAGGAGCCCACCCTTCCCCAGGTTTTCATAGCTTGGCTTGTAGCTCATGGCCTCCTTATCCCGGCCCTCCCCACCCCTGCAGAAAAGGGGGGGCAACTTTTGGTGACTGTGGGTTGCCGTTCAGGCTCCCGGGGGTTGGCCATGGTGGATCATGTAACAATGTAAAACGGATGGGTCTGATCGTGCAAACCGGCACCGCCAAGATCTTCTCATGCATTTATTTTATTCATCAATCTATACCAACCCAATTCCCAAATCCTAGTTTTCCCAGGACTTTCCTGGAGGAGTACAGATTTCTCTTGGCTTATCCAGAGAAACCTGGTTTAGAACTGAGACTGCGGTTCTTGCGTTTCCTTGCCCCCAATTGTGGGAACTGGCACGGCTGGCTTTCAGCAATAGCAGCCCAGGAGAAGGGTCCCGCGGTGAAAGCTGCCGCAGCAGAAGGGGCCTCGCGTTTCCTGGTCTCTGCTGCGCCGGGGGGGGGGGGCGGTTAGCAGAGGAACACCACTGGCTCTGTTCACACAAGGTGCTTCGTCAGCCCGGTCTCCCTCCGGCAACTTCTGTCCAACAGGTGAGGCTGTTATTCTTAACCTGCATGCACTTTCTGTGGCTTCACCTGATCGTTCGACTCCAGCCCGTTCGCTTTAGCCCACGCATGTTTTTGTGAACACAGCCATAGGTGGAGTCAGCACAACACGCTAAACCCCACATCCCTGTTCCCACCACACGTGATTTGGTGGCTCGACGCGACCCTCTTGTTGAGAACTTCGGGATCAGCTCCCAATTCACACGGGATATAGATGCCGGGCGCTCTTCAGAGACCAAGTCCTATTTACAGGATGGAGCCACAATAAAGGGGAAATTGGTCCTTTCATTCCCCGTACATTTATGTTTAATCTGGCAGTCCCCAAGAGAAACATCTGTTTTTGGAAAGAGGCTGTGGAGGGGAGGAAGAGCCCCTTCAGGTTGCACCACAACTAAGGCCCTGGAGGGAGGCTCTGCATGGAACCAGGTGCCGGACCCTCCGCATGAAGGGAAACCCGCGCACCTCCAGCTCCAGCAATTTCCAAAGGCCGCCACCCCGGAGAGGCTCCGTGGGAACAGCCTCACGAAGGACATAAAGTTGGTGTCCCGTGTGGGGATGAGGGTGGGCCTCCTCATTTTCAGGAACCCTGATTAAGGCCCGTGCCAGTTATTCCATAACTGACCCTTTTACTGAACCAGGAGGACCGTGGTCCACTAGAGAGAGAAGCCAGCGTGTCTGGCCTTCATCTTTCCCCGGCCTCTTCCGGGCCCTTCTTCGGGTCTGGGCAAGAGGGACATCAGCTGGCAACCGAGAGGGGCGGGAAACAATGACAGCAGCCCAGCTCCAGAGTTTTTGCTCGGGGTCGCTCCAACCGAGGCAAACTGGGGTGAATCAGCCCTCATGGCTCCTTTCTGGAGAAGGCAAGCAGTGGCAGAAGAAGAAAACACAGAGCTTCGCCGCTCTGTTTTAACAGATGCAGGGTTTTGTGAAGAGCAAGAAAATCGGTCCCTGGCCAGAGACACAGACCACCCACACCCGCCACTGCTGGAAGTTGGGCGGCACACTGTACATGTTCAATAAATGAATGCATCGATCATGCCACTCCCTTTCAGGGTGAAGCACAGTCTGCAAAATTCAGAATGGAAGTAAGATATAGTAAGAAAAAAATAAAGCAAAAAATAAATATAGCTAACTCTAGTTTCTGTCACTGGCTCTATGTAGTGTTCTGCCTTTTCAAACCGCACTTGCCTCCGCCACCCCCATCCACACATCGCCCTTATTCTTTAGGACTGGCACCTCTCTCTTTTGGAGGACCTCATCAACTCCATCCCACCACACCCTCCTCCTCCTCCTTCTTCCGCTTGACCTTCCTCCTCTTCCTTCCCACATGTGTCTCACAGGTCCACCCTCGTTCGTTCTGTCAATACAGCCAATGCACCCCGACATACTTTCTTTGTACTGGGCCCGGCTTTTGCATTCAGGCCACCCTAATTCAGGCCCACTCATTTCGGGCAGGACCATCTCTTTTTGTTACGCCCCATGCCCACCGCATTCAGCTTCATGTTTTGTTTCTCCTGACATACTAACTCAAACTTCAGTGTAACAATGTGAGCAGAAGCAGAGTTTTATTTATACATAGCCATTTTCACTTCTTTCAAGAGACATTTGTTCCTTGCAACAGAGCATACACTACACAGTACTTTTCTACCAGAATTTTCACCTTATGATTTTCCCATCATTAGTAAATATTTTACCAAGATAAGCAAATAAGATTATTGCCAGATTATCTTCTTGCTCTATCTTTTCCCCATTTATGTGTAACTTGCAATTATTCATGTTCTTCTCCTGTCAGGCACAACTATCTTGGTCTTCAATCCAATAATTCCCAGATCCATATTTCTTGCTGCATAAACATCTACCTTACATGGGTGAACCCTCATCCAGGTTGTCAGCCAACAAGATGGCTTCATCGGCGTACAAAGGAACGCACACTTTCACGTCCCATGTGAGCACATCCCTGATGTCACTACAGGCGTTCCGTATCATTTACCAGGAAATACATTACATTATAGCCAGAGGGCTGACAACACATTCTTGTCTCACTCTCTTCTTGAGTGTTGAAGCATTCGTTAAGCATTTCATTATTCACTATACACCACTCTGATCAGGTTCAGCAATCTATCCTCAACTCCATAGTCAGACAAATCATTCCAGCTTGATCGTTCCAGAATTCAAGCATTCCATCATTGCTTAATCCAACTCAAGGAAGGTACAATAAGCTTACTTTCTCCCATTCGCACATTTCTCTGTAACCTGCAGTCGTGTAGTCTGCACAGTAAAACTGCCCTGTGCTTCCCAAGTTTTGCTGATAATTGGAATTTTGTCAAACCCCTTTCTAGCCACCCCTTGTAGCACCCACAGTCTGCCTTACGATCTGCCTTTGTGTAGGAGAACACAATTTCACTCTTCCAGTCCACAAGCATGGGTATAAACAAATTAACCCAAAGATTTAACGATCAGTAAACTGCCTCCATCTTCTAACATTTATCCAGTTTCACTGTCCACACCTGCAGCCTTAACTTTTTCAACCTTATCACATTGTTTGATCTCCACTTCATCCTTTTTCTTGGACCTTCACAGCACCTTTCAAATCTCTTCTCCGTCAGAGCATGCCATTCCACACATGTCTCTAAAATCTCCGCTTCCGACTCCATCATTATTCTTAATTCCACTCACTCTGCAGGAGGCTCCTTGAGAGCCCTTCTCTCTCTTTGATGACATTTTTGCAAGTTGCAAGTCTTTCTTGCAACTTTTTTTGCAAGCCTCTTTTTTCAGCTCTTCCACGCGTTTTCTCCTCCGCAGCTCCTGCAAGCGTTCAGCTTTCTGCCGAGCGCCCATACCCATGCATCCCAGCAGCAGAACTCCACACCCTTTGTTCACACTTGGTAACGCAAATCTTCTTCACTGTTTTCCTAGCAGCTTCCACATCCTGTTTCCTTACATCCACTTTCCATTTCTCCTGTTGGGAGATTAATCTGCTTCTGACACTTCTTCACACAGGACTTGAACTTCCTCTTCCTGCGGTCCTACGTGCCCTGGTCTCTTTCCCTTCGCTGTTTCCCAAGATCCACTCCTACATTCAGATCCCCTTCTATCCCTCATCAAATATCTCAGTCTTTCCACGCAATCCATCCATTCATGCTGTTCAATTCATTCCCTTTTTGCAAATGCATGTACAGATTTACACTTAAACCATGCATTTGAAATCCACAGATTAGGGTTTTTTTCGCAGCAGATAGCCCCCATTCTCTTTAATTCTTAAATTGTTTTTTCTGTCCTCTTTCATCTCATTCCCACCCATCCATTTGTGTCACCAACCAGAATAATCCCCCTGGCAACTGTGTTCTTTCAGAACATTTTACAATGTTTCCCAAAACTCATATTCAGTTCTTCCATTATCATATTCACTGCAGTGTAAAATCCCTAAAGTATGAATTCCTGCTTTTCATAGGCACCCCAAAAGCCCAGAGGACACAAATTCACTGAATACGTTCTAGCTCCATGCAGAAGAGCTCTTTATAATTAAACCTGCATCTTCACCTCCATGCAGGTATTCCCCACCCCCACTTACAACATGATACCACCTCAATTCCCAGCCTTTCTCTTGGTTTCACAGACAAACAACAGAGCTACTTTTCGTTATTTCGCTCATTAATGCATGCTCTTCACCATTTCCTCCTCTTAAATGCCAAGCTGCAATCTTCCCTATATCAAGGGCATCACCAGAAGTTGACTCCACTGCCTATCCTGGCTTTCGTCGAGTGGGGTTTTCCCAGAACACTTTATAGTAACATAGAGAAGGTGCGGACTAGGGTACGAGCACGAGCCTTCGTTGCATCCCTGCCATGTGCTGCATTCTGTGTAAACGGTGAGGATGCAAAACCTGTCCATTCTGGAACATTATCACAAGGACAGAGACAGCCTCATTTTACCCCACGCGCTGCTCACCCTTCTCAGCAAGGCAGGATCTCTAGAAACTGCCTTGCAGGGCAACTACAGTTGCCGAAATTCCTTGGATGAGGGGTGTGCGTACAGTGCACTGACAGAGTCAGAATCTTACACTCAAATCTAAAATTCAACAAAGAGAAGATGGAGGGGGTGGAGAAAAAAGAGGGAGGAGTTAAGAGAGCACTATAATGTGGAGAGCAGACCCAAAGCCAATGAAGATTTAAAGGAAGATTTCCAAGTTAATTGAAGTAGGTCTCCAAGGGTTTTTGACTCCCGAGGGCTTGATAATTCCAAGGGGTTTTTTTCCCCTTGTAGGACTTGCTTCTCTTTTAGCCTCAGAGTCCTGCATGTATAAAATATGCAGGTCTTTGTCAAGGTTTTAAATTGCAAATTCAATGATGGAGTCGTACATGTACAAGCGGGCTCCTTTAGCTCTTCCTTTCCGTCACATCCTCTTCAAGTCCTGGTTAAAGAGCAAAAAGGCTGATCTGTAAGTCCGCAGTTGGTCCAGCCCTGCAGCAGGGTGTGGACGCTGAGCGAGCCGCCAAATATACAAGGAGAATTTGGACTCCTTCACAGGAGTTTCCAGGCCAATGAGATCCACTGCCTGACTTGAAGCCAATTAGTTCCGAAAAAGCACCCCGCGGGCAGCATTTAGCCACTCTCTCTAAGCTGGAATCCGCCAGTTCTGCTGGGATTATGAGAATTCTCAGCCAGCAAAGACGGGGCTCAGCTAACGAGCGCGGCAGCAGGACATCCAGGCTCACTGGATCAAAAGGTTCCTGCGGCCCAGCAATTATTTATTGATGACATTTTAATCAGGACAGCAGCCGGTTTCCAGCCATGGCCAGCCAGGGGGGTCATGAAAACAACCGCCCTCCTGGCTTTCATCCCAGCAGCAAGAGGCAATCGCTGAACCTGGATCTAGGCGAAGCTCCACTGCTCACAGGAAGCTCCATTCCAAGAGCGCAACGCTTTTCAGCTGGGCAGTTGCCCTCATAAAAACATGGTTGTTGTTGTGATCGTCGTTATTACTTTTTCCAGCCAGAGAGGTGCAGGAATACAGCCTCCAAGTTGGCAGAGGCTAGAAAGAGTTCCACGCACAAAATGTGCATTAAGTGTTCAGGCTTAACTGAATAAGAAAAAAAAAGATAGAACCAGTACTGCTAAAATTTGCCATTTGGCTGCCGAATTTCAGTATTGTGATCCTGGGGCATCGGTGACTGCAAAACCCACCCCACGCCCTCAACCTATAAGGACACTCAAAGGAATTTGCCTGTGTACACACACACACGCGCGCACACACACACACACACACAAGAGAAGGATCACAACTGCTGCCGCTCCACTGCATCTGGGTGGCATGGAAGCGGGCACTCATGCAAAAGGGACAGGAGGGGAGCAAAGGTTTCTGCGGCGGGACTGGTTTAAACACCTCCATTTTCTGCAGTCTTAACTTCTAGGGAATTTAAAAAGTCATGTGTTTATAAACCCTTGTCAACCTCATAAAGGTAATGCTTAACATTTCATCATTGATTAACTTGACTGCAGGATGGGTAATTTAGAGCCAGATAGCCTTAGGAATGTGATTCTTTTCCTCCTTCCCTTTCTTTAAAATGTTAATCCCTCTTTGATTCAGGAGCAGGGGGCAAGATTGCAGAGGAGGAAACTGACCAAGGATAACAATGGTAAAGAGTTTGAGTCCAGCCTTCCAAGCACCCGGAAGGAACAGCAATTACCTGCAGCTCTCCCCCCCATACAATTCTGTGCCCCCCTTTGGCTCCACAGTAGCCAGGGAGTTGTTAATTTACGAGGCTTGCTCAATAGCTCAAATATTACAACGCCACACAAACCCGGGACAGAATTCATTAGCTACCAACATTCACCATCCCAGCCTCCCTGGGTAGCTCGCAGGGGGACCTCCACCGATGACCCCACTCCCTTCCTTTCCTTTTCTTTCTTGTCCCCCCCACCCCCGCTCCCCTCAGCCTTCAACCTCAGACAATGGGCTGGTTTTTGCTTGGTCCTTCATCGGCTGTGGCCCAGAATGCGGGTTCTGCTTGCCGACTGTCACTTTTCTTCCCTTGGTTGAGGCCTGATTGTTTCTAGGAGTGCCAGAGGAGAAAAGCCAGCCACCTTAATATTTAACATTAACCCAGATTCTCTGCTTTCAATTTTTTACCTCCCTGAATTACCTCTCCTAAATTTTCCTTACTTAGCAAACAAGCGCAAGAGGAGTCCAAACGTAGCCCTGACACGCAGGTGGGACGGGCTTTCAAAGACCAAATGCTGGATCACCAGCAGCCCCACTTTGATGCTGGGCTTTCCTGAAAGTCTGCCTTGCTGGGCAACAGGCTCTTCCAGGAAGGGCCAGCTCCCCAGAGAGCAGAGAAGGAAGGGGCTTAGGGCTGGGGCCAGGGTCAGCCTCAGGCCAGGCTCTGTAGCACAGGGAGGGCAGGCACAGGTGGGAGGTCCATTTCTGCCCATGTGAGGGTATTTCCAAGCAGTGAGATTCCTTCAGGAGCAAAGGGAATTAATGACAGGGTCTATCTGCACAAGCACCACAGACACACACACACACACACACACACACACTTTTAAAGCATGGGTCACCTTCACTCCCCGCTTCCCCATCCACAGTCCATATGCCAGGGCACAAATGCAAGCTGTGAAGCTCAGCAGCTGCTCCCGGGGCCCACACCAGAGGCCCCCCATGCTCTTTGAATCTCCCCATGGGAGGATGTGGGGCTTTCCCGATCATATTATTTGTTGCAAGAAATCAGTTATAAAGAGTCACTTTTTTGTGAGATGAGCAGTATCTAAATTTGAAAGACAGATAGATAGAAAATCTGCTTCACTAAACCTCACTCAGTTCAGATTCCTGCTCTCAGGAGCGACCCCCCCCCCCGCATGCATCAACCTTCAACAGGTATTCTTCCCTGCCAGGACTATACAGACCAGCCCCCCTTAGAAAGCAGCCCACCAGCCTTCACCTTCGTGAATCCTGACCCCATGTCTTTGGGGGAAGGATCTCCCAC